GTGAGCTGGCGACCATGTGGCGACTATCGCTCACTAAATTCGGTTACCCGTTACGATAGTTATCCGATACCCCACATACACGACATCACGGCATCACTTCACGGCACGACTGTATTTTCTAAGATCGATTTGGTGCGAGCCTATCACCAGATCCCAGTCGCCGCTGAAGATGTCGAGAAAACCGCTGTCACGACTCCTTTTGGTTTGTTTGAGTTCCTACGTATGCCTTTTGGTTTGCGAAATGCTGCTCAGACATTCCAGAGGTTTGTCGATAGCATTACACGAGACTTGGAATTTGTTCACGTCTATATCGATGACTTGCTAATCGCATCGTCGAGCGTAGATGAACGTTTCCAACATTTGACGCTACTATTTCAACGTTTGTCCGAACATCGAATTGTAGTCAATCCTGATAAATGTGAACTTGGCAAACCGGAACTCGTGTTCCTCGGCCACAAGATCACTCGAGAGGGTATTAGGCCTTGCGAGGATAAAGTGCGCGCTATTCTAGATTACGCCGTACCGTCCTCAATCAAGGAGCTTAAGGCATTTTGGGGGTTAGTTAACTTTTATCGTCGTTTCGTACCTCATGCCGCTGAACGTTTGCTTCCATTAACTGACCTACTTCGTGGCAATCCACGTAAGTTGTCGCTTACGGATGCCGCACGAGTAGCGTTTTCGGAGATTAAAGCGACATTAGCCCAGACCACGCTCCCCATGCACCCAGTTCCGTCCGCCACGCTAAGCATAGCGGTGGATGCATCCGACTTTGCCATCGGAGCGGTCCTGCAACAGTCTGTTCCTGGGATATGGCAGCCATTAGAGTTCTTCTCTCGACGCCTCAATCCCACGGAAACCAAATATAGTGCTTTTGGTCGCGAACTGCTGGCTGCATATAATGCCGTTAAGCACTTCCGCCATGCAGTCGAGGGTCGATATTTCATCCTCTTTACAGACCACAAGCCTCTGACGTATGCATTGCATACTAAGTCTGATCGTTACTCTCCACGAGAAGTCAGACATTTAGACTATATTTCTCAGTTCACGACTGACCTTCGACACGTTAAAGGTGAGTCGAACTGCGTTGCAGATGCTTTGTCGCGTATTCCGCTTAATGCCATTAAATCTCCGGTTTTAGACATCCCTGCCATGGCTGCAGCACAGGCACAGGATTCTTCATGTATGGAAGCAGCTCAGTCATCGTCGCTACAGTGTCAGTCCATCCCTCTGGCCACTAGTGCTGGGACTATACTCTGCGACATGTCTACCGGTATACCTCGACCAGTCGTACCCTCTGCATATCGACGTCTCGTGTTCGATACCCTACATGGACTATCACATCCAGGCATCGCAGCCAGTCTCCGATTAGTAGCTGCACGATACGTCTGGCCATCCATGAATAAAGATGTTCGTATGTGGGCAAAACAGTGTCTACAATGTCAACGATCTAAAGTGCATAGGCACGGTACTTTTGCTACGCCTGATGCTTGCTTCGATCATATCCACGTAGACATTGTGGGTCCATTGACCCCATCACACGGGTATACTTATTTACTAACGTGCATCGATAGATTTACGAGGTGGCCCGAGGCTATTCCCATCTCTGTCGTCACGGCCGAATCAGTGGCTCGACATCTGATAGAACGATGGATAGCTTCATATGGTTGTCCTTCCACAATCACTACCGATCGAGGGCACCAATTTGAGTCCGATCTTTCCTCTTCATTAACTCACATGCTGGGTACGGAACGCATTCGCACGACCGCGTACCATCCGGCATCGAATGGTTTAGTCGAGCGTTTTCATCGCCAACTCAAAGCGGCTCTTAGAGCACACGAGAGCCCCGACTGGTGCGAAACGTTACCGCTAGTTCTGCTTGGTATTAGGACTTGCATAAAAGCAGATATCCAATGTTCCGCCGCAGAACTTGTCTACGGCACGACATTACGACTGCCTGGGGAATTCTTTACGCCACGGAGTACAGATTCACTTGCCGTACAGACTTACGTTCACCGTTTGTCTACGTACATGAAAAATCTCGCTCCGGCGCAGACTCTAATGCAGCGACGACAGGTTTTTGTTCCGACCGAACTCGAAACTTGTTCGCATGTATTCATTCGTGTTGATTCGGTACGGAAACCATTACAACAGCCTTACGAAGGTCCATTTCGCGTGATTTCTCGTCACGATAAGACCTTTAAGGTTGATCGACACGGTCGCGTCGATACCGTTAGCATCGATCGTCTCAAAGCCGCGTACGTTGATGATAGCGTGTCGCCCGCTGACATGAGATTCGATGTTAACCCTGCACTGCCTGTTGACGACACTTCCGTGTCACGTCAAGGTCTGCAGTTAGCGTTGCCTGCTACGACTTCGAATGAGGCTATCGTCTCACGTTCAAGTCAGCAGCCAGTTGGCTCTGCTACGTCCTCGAATGAGAATACTGTCTCACGTTCAAATCAGCAGAGCACGCCTACGCACCCGTCCGTGAATGAGGCTCCCGTCTCACGTTCCGGTCGGAAGGTCGTTTGCCCAACACGTTTTCGCGACTAGGTCAAACACGATCTTAACCATTGCACTTCGCAGTAATAACTTTCGTGTTTATCGTTTCGACACGATTTAACATATCTCATTAGTTATTACTGAATTCTAGTCAAGTCCATTGCAATTGCTACACCAGTTTTCCGTTTCTTTTCGTTTCATGGAACCTCGCCATATGGTACGCTTCGCTGGTCCCACGAAATCTGGAGAATTTTGGCACTAACGTTTGCATTCTGGATCGGCCTTGTCGTTCTCGTTCCTGGCCATTTACGAACCTATCGATTTGGCTTCCGGATATCATATTGTTTAACTGTTACCCGACGCTGGACGTTATTGGTGTGGCACACCTTGATGACGATTCACGCAACCGACGTCATTGGCAACGAATCTGGTTTACGCTCGACTATCATCCTAGGGTTCCTGCATACCACGGATTCTGCCTGTCAGCATCCTACAGCACAGCTACATTCACGTATTTTGCACGCATTCGCGCACACGAGTACCGTTTGTATGCCATCTCCTCCTTAACATTTTTTCGAAAGCTTTCCGTGCTTTCTAGCGGGGGGCTGCTGTAGTGACCTCGATCGTTTTGAGAAAATGACTATTTTCTGGACACCATTTTGGATCTATTTTCTCCACGATCTTTTCTGACGTTTGACATTGACCTCAGTGTTCTCCCGTTGCCTACGTTTTACTGGACTGACTTTTCCGAGGTTTCCGTCGACCTCGTTTCAAATCACTTTCACTTTCGGTCGTTCGCTCGCGGTTCGCTCTCTGCACATCCGTCGCGTTTCGTTCCGTTTTTCAGTTCGGTGTATCCCTCGTATCGGTACTGTTTCGGTGCCACGATATATAGAATACAACTCGCATCTGTAAACCGACTTACGTCTTCTCTATTCGTCCGATAGAGGGGATATCGTTGGTATTCGCTGCTAGACCCGATAAGAGACACGTTCGCCAGCCGCTCTCGAACGTCTTCTATAACCCCATCAGAGTTGTCAAGAAAGGACCTAATCTGGTGGAGTGCGAAAAAAGGGAGACGGTGGATTATGATGCGAAGTTTAGATGAGCATACTTATGTTCTTTCAGTTTTGTTCAAGAATTATCGAAAGTGAACACGCAAACGACTATCATCACATTTACGCGCCAACAGTTGATTCACTTTAGTATGCAAGGATCAGTGCCTTCTGAGGGGGTTGCTTGTGTTCGACCTTCAAAATACCAAAACGTAAGAAACTCTATGTACACAAAGGTTCAGTAGGTGGAACAACAAGATCCTACACTTACATTAATCGAACACCAGTATGGCTGCTGACAGCCTGCTCACTTGTAGTGTACTAGCCAGTTTATTTTATACACTTAGTCAATGTAGAAGCCATCTAAGATGACATTAACTAACTAGGATTCGCGGAGGAATGTGGATAGATAATTAAACAGAAGTAGTCTTAATCGAAATAGAAAAGAGCCCGACCGCATGGAACGAACTCAAAACGGTCCACCGATCAAATTCAGATTTCCGGTTTACTAAGTTCCAGAACGGCTCCAAATCAGGAAGCGAAGTTGCGTCGGGGAGCGTATTTTCACTTCCAGGCTTTTCGTTATGTTGTATCTTGTGACCGTGTGTGTGTACTGATTAATTACGTCCAAACGTCAATACAGCAGAGGGGTGCTGTACCAAAAGAACACAATAAACATGAAAAAGTGTGGGTTGCACAGACACCGCCACACAACACCACCGACCTTTCAACGGAAGTAGCGAATCGGTCTGCGGGGGGAATCAGTAGGTGATCATGAACTAGTCTGCAAGTTCAGTTCAGTTCAGTTCAGTCTGCACAGGACAGGTAATGGCCACGGCCAATCGAGCGTCCAGAATTCCTTCGATGGTATGCACACCAGTTATGCACCCACCACTGCCGAGCGAAGTACGGATTGTTCCTACCTTGATTTGGGTGAAGTAGTCTGTACGTGGTGATGGAATTTTACGCAAAGGCATTCAGTTTTCCGAGTTCTCTAGAATTATGTGATTTTCTTCTACGAAGAAGACTGTTATGTTTGTGAATTCTCCCTAAATTTGTTTGTGTTTATTAAATGTTGTATGGGGAGATTGTGGTCATTGGTCAACGTGCTGCTCACATGTGATTGGTTTATTGGTGCTATAAATTGCTGTGCTTACTCGTTGCGGCGGATTTTTCCGGAACGGCCGTTGGGCTGCGGTGGTGCGATGCTGGCTTGCGTTGATAATTCTGCTGAGTTTCGGCGCATTTGTCGGAAGGTCTATCCAAGTTTGGAAGCATTCAGGTCGGACTTCCGTGAGTTTCAATACGCAACGAATTCCAGTTTTTACGTGTACAATTCACGGACCAGTGAAGTAGCGGGTAAGAGAGGTGTCGTGCTTCCCCCGGGCATGAAATATTATTTTGTCAAATATCGGTGCGTCCACCGAAGAAGAGCTGGTTGTAATGGGCGGAGGTAATTTGTTTCATTTTTTGTTAAATTGTGCTCAATTTCAGATACCCTGATCTGCGATGCGAGGCTTTTGTCACAGTTCGTGCCGTCGGTTCTTCTTACGTGGTTACGCAATGGTGTCTTAAGCACAACCACAGCTTTCACCTTGGTGCAGAGGGTTTTTATGCTCGTAATCGTCGTCTGACGGAAGCGGAAGAACGCCATGTGTGCAATTTGATGGAAAGTTTCCAACACATTGGTGAACTGCGGGATTATACGAGGCGTCATTTTGGTCGGTCATTGCGCTATGATGACTTCAGGTCCATTCGTAATAGGTTGCGCGGGAAGCCATCGGAGGAGGATACTGGACGTTTAGGTATTTTATTGGAAAAGCTTGGACGGTCACAGGTGTTGTATGAAGACAATGAAATAAGATTCGTTCTATTTGTTCCGAAAGCCGTAACAGTGCTGACAGATCGGTTTTGTGACTTGATGCTTGCGGATGCGACCCACCAACTGAACTACGGTGGATACGTTTTGTGGCACGTGATGGTGGTCGACGAGACCGGGCTTGGACATAGTATATTGTACGCGCTGCTTCCTAATGAGAGCAGTGTTAGCTATCGCACGGCTGTAGAATATTTGGCTGAGGCAATACCGCAGTCGAGGGGGTGTAAAACGGTGGTTGTAGATCGCAGTGTTCCCCAGTATAATGCCTTCAAGGGTGTGTACCCGGAATCACAGATAGTGTTCTGTCGGTTTCATGTATTAAAAGATATGCGGCAACGTTGTTGGCAATTGTCGGGGATGTCCACTGCCGATAAACGCAGGATTTTCCAGTGGATGCGTAATATGGTTTTCACGGCTAGTGTAAAGAATTTCAATAGGTTTAAATGTGCCATCGAGGCGAGGTCAGCGGAAGCCGCGCGATACCTTCGACTTACTTGGATGCCATACAGCAGCAACTGGGCCGCGTGTTACATGCGGTACTACCTGCTTTATGGCAATTACACTACCAACAGAGTAGAAATAGAGAACAGGCACCTAAAGGATGGCTTGTCCCGTCGTTCATGCTTGTACGACGTTTTCAGGAAAATCGTCCGACGATTTGATAGTCTACTAATTAGTCGGCGGGAGCGATTAGCTGGTGAACAGATGGTACCCTACACGGCTTCAAGAAGTAATCATTGGATGCAACCGCTGTTGTGTCGAATGACTGCTTACGCTCGTCAATCTTTTCTGGAGCACGTGCGTCGTAATAAGACGACAACTATCACCCTGAGGAGGGGTGCATACGTGGTTGGCAACTCTAGGGGACTAAAGCACCGGGTGTCCTTTGGGTTGGGAAATCCACAATGCGACTGTTCATTCAGTCACCAGTGGGGCCTTCCTTGCATCCATTTTCTAGCGGTAGCTAGGGTTATGTCATTTTCATTGGAAAATGTTGTTCTAGGAAGATGGAGCCTGTACTCCTCCGTTCGACCGGTTCCAGTTCCGGAAACAGGAATGCAGTGCAAACGTCAGTCAGGGAGAAGGATTGATAAAAGTGCTAAGATAGCTCTATGTGAGGATGCAGCGAAGGAATTCGTTGTAACGGTTAGCAACTTGGGGGAGGATAATTTTAAGTACGCTCTAAACCAGATTATGCGGTATACTCGCATTGTTGGTCTGCACCCGACAGCCAGGGTTAGCATGATGATAGATCACGGTTATAAGGAAAAGGTCGCCCCATGGGAAACGGGTGACGCTGGCACACGAGTACCTAAATCCAGCAAAGCTTTTCTTTCGCATACTCCGTCAACCAGTGGTAGTGCCCCCCAGTCAAGGAGGAAATGTGCATTAGGTGTAAGGAATACAGCTGATGATGACCTGGTAGTCGTAGGTAATCCGCTGCGTAATCTGAAGTTCCGTCGGCTGCGTACTGCAACATCGACGCTTTTTAGGACAGACGCGAAACGACGACGTATAGATGTAACGGCTTCGCCGGTCGCCGAGGATGTCTGTAGTCTTTGCAAGCTGCAGGAACCCACCGTTGACCCCGACAAAGATGTTCTTTGGGTACAATGTGCTTACTGTCCGCGGTGGGCTCACGTCCAATGTGCAGGATACCACAATGAGGCGAACTATGTATGCGTGCATTGCCTGGCCCGATGATCGGTACGTTTCCGCAGGTTTTCGCCAACTTTTTTCTGTTGCCTATTTTTTTTGTATTCTCCCCGTGATTGATGAGTGCCCTGTTTCCCATTTCTTACAGGCTCTATCGATTGGTGTTTCTGGATCGTGTCGTTGCATTTAATGGATGTCATTGGGCGTCCGTGGACATTTTTCCAACTTTTTACGTGCCTTGTGCTCAGTTTTGGCACGTCCCTGTCCCTCTGTTAGGCATTTAGATAGAGAGCGCGGGGAGAGGACACCCCACATCTTTACTCGTGAGTAATCCCATTGAGGTCATTTGCGACCCAATGCTCCTTAAATCACCTTAGAGGTGATGAGCAGAAACCTTTTCCAGCTGGAGCTATCTGGCTGGTTTTTGGCTCAACTCACGATGCTCTCTTAGGTCGATGTCCGTCTACTCCGTGACGGATCTTCGGTGACACCAAAATAATTAAACATTTTGCGAGCCCAGAGGTTCACTGAATCTCGTCTCTAGGGCTCCTGGAAATAGCTAGCTCAGTCTCCCACATCCTGTCAGCCGTACGGGGTCGTTTAAATATATCTCGATATCTCAAATGTTTTTCTTCTTGTTCATTAGTGGGACGGGAACAGCCGGTTACTTCGTGCGTACGACCGTATTGCGGGGAAACATTTTCTCGATAGCGTGTTGTTTTCCTCCAGGCGCTTCCGCTATCCTTCACTAGGAACGTTGTTACGTGAGTATTCTTTCACGTGCGCAGCAACGGGGCGTTGTAGTTTGACGGTTGATGGACGTAGTCGGAATGACGTTTTCCTTTCATAACGGGTAGTGAAGTACACAATTGGCGAATTAGGGTCATTGGGTACATCGTATCAACGACTGCCATGTAACCTCAGTGGTTGTACAACCTATCCGGTGGAATTGGCTGTAGGGTGTTCTATCAGCTAGAATACGGGGACTAAGTGTGTAGACATCAATGCTATACAGGCGCTGTTAACAATATATAACGGGTATTAGAGTTGCCTAAATGCGAGTCGGGTTAGTAGTCTTCGTACCCCACGGCATGCTATGTTATATTAGTTAAATCACACGCGTAATAAGTGGGGATGGGAAAGGCGCAGCATCCGATACAGCAGTCAAGTTTAGGTTTACAATACCGGCAAGTTTGCTGAGGACTGATGTGAACGCAAGACCATAGAAACGGAACAACGCAATATACATGGGACCGGTACGTGTGCACATATAAATGTGACTGTAGTTGTGCAGCCTTGTTATCATTTCGGAATCCGTGGCTTTTATGCGCGCAATGCAAGTCCATATGAATATATATATATATATATATATATATATATATATATATATATATATATATTGATAATAATAAGTATGTAAACGTGTACATAGGTATATATATATATACATATGTATATATGTATATATTACGTTTGGGCAACCCACCCGTGGGTACCTTTGAGCGGCAATGAACACCAGTAGTATGAGATCATGACGGAGATGTGCCGCGGACCCACGCGTGAGTTGTACATTTCACTCACGCATCACACCTAACTGCAGATGTCTAAGTATAAACAAGGCACGTATAAATGTGTCGTTAAACCTCACTTCACTTTATTTGCAAATGTCGCTGGCTACTACACCGCTACGTAAGGGCGAAACCACAGTGCGGGGAAACATTTTCTATTTGGGATACTGATTGATGCTAACGATGAACATGACCTCGCACACTGACACAAGAGGTTGGCCACATGTGCATGAGGAAGATTGGCGGCATTTGCATAGAACAAGTACACGAATATATATATATATATATATATATATATATATATATATATATATATATATATATATACCTGAACTGCATTAGTCCGTCAGTTGCGCATATCAGTCCGGTTGCACATTTAACTACAAACGCCCATTTGCAGATAGGGCACAATAAACCCTCCGCTTGAAATAGCATCCCACGTAAGTTTGGCAGCTAAGCCTCAACAAACAGAACTGGGACGGTATTGAGAGTGAACTTCCTATTGAGAAAAGATTATATTGGCGTCATCAATGCTGACATATGTTACAGACTATTATATACACATACATTCTCCAATGGTTGTACACTTGTATAGATGTATGTGCACCTCCACATACACATGTTCCATTCATTCTGCGGTCGGTTAGGCGGTGTAATCCATTATTATTTTCACGTTACTCAGTATACGTTCTGTGTTGCACTTACGTCACATTCACCACCATCGTGATACGCACGTATCACGGTTCACCTAAACCTTGGCCACAATACTGTCATATGAGTAGTTATTCGTGCGTCATATGCATCATTTTCATTACGCGTTTCAATGACATCGTTAGTGACCATAAAGGATGCATACCAACTTCGTCGCGGATTAACGTGCTACAATGAAAATTGATGGACGTTCAACAGACTTCGATTGCGCCCACAGTGGAAAGGAAACAGCTTTCGATTCCACCAACAGGCTACTCTAAGTCCGTTCGGAAAGACGTAATAATAACTACAGTCATTGTACACATTACACCACCATGCAGTGTCTACAAATTTGTGTGAGAAAAACTACCATTGGTAGATATATCTATCTTTTATAAAAGGTCTGACGGAAACTAACTACTAGGCCTATTAATATGCAGTTTCAAGGAATACCTCACAAGTATGCCATACTGCGGCTGAAACCACTTGCGGATAAATCTACAACTAACATTGATATTTGACTGCACAATACATGTCAACATTCTTCACCTCCTACTGATGCAATAAAGACTTTCTTCTAACATGAAACTCATCAGCAGCATCGATTTCTTGGATAAGAATCAATTGTTTTCCATCAAGTGTTAATTAACACTTGTAAAGTGTTAACACTTTACTTGAAGAATTTGATTGCGGATTGCTCATTACGTCACTTAAAAAAGACGAAATTTCACTTTCCTACAAAAAACTACCATTAGCAGATAAGACTTTTAGTTGAAAGTCCAACAGGAGCATTTACTGATAAACTAAATTATTATTAATAACATTGATAAGCAGCTTAAAGGAATACCTCTCAATCATGCTATATCCAGCCTACACCTTCGCGGACATGAATCTACCACCAATATTGTTAAGGAACTGTGCATTTCATCCTTACATTTTTAACCTACCACAGGTGCAACGTAAACTTCGTTGTTACAAGGAACTCAAAAGAGGCATCAACTTCTTGGATGCAATATTCCACATTAAATGACGGTTTTACATGCACAATGCACAATACACCGTTTCTGAGAAGAAATTTCAATTTGAAATAGGTAGATCAATTCATCCTTCCTTCAAAACAGCGCTTCACTGAGGCGGGGGCGCAATTTCGAAAAAAACGTAATGGGTAGGAACAATCCGGGATACCCACTGCCGAGTGTATTTCGTCGAATCCCCGCTAAAAATGAGAGGGAAACGGAAAACCTCATCGCACATCAACTGCGTGAGACATTATGCATCGTGAGCGTTCACTGAGACAGTATGCAATGAGGGAAAAAGTCTGCTAAAACATACTCCAGAAGGACCACAGTGCTACCCGTCATCCATCTAGTTGAAATACTCAAGGCTCACTACAAGGAAAGATCTCGTACCACTTGCAATCAAGGGCACCTTTGAAGGATTGGACTGTCTGCAGATCTACCATTTCACCAGGCAGACCGTTCCAACTGTTCACAATCCTATTGCTGAAGAATTGCGATCTAGCCATCAACCTAGATCGGGCTTTTATCGACTTCTTTTCGTGTCCGCTTGTTCTGGAGTCTACGGCGACTTGGAATAGACTAGCTGGTCTAAGGCCAGAAATGCCCTTCATTACCTTGAACGTTTCTATGAGATCCCCTCGACGTCTCCTTTTTTCCAACGAGAAGAGATTCAGGTCACAGAGTCTCTGCCCGTAAGTCTTACCCCTCTGCCCTTCAACCATCCGCGTGGCGAGACGTTGGACTTTCTCGAGGCAGGCGGCGTCCTTTTTGTAGAAGGGTGACCAAGCTACACGCTACCTTCTAAGTGAGGTCGTACTATAGCCATGTAAATAGATGCGAATACCTCCGGCTTCCGGCAAGACAAAGCTGATCGCAGTCTAAAGAGCTCCCCACGAGCCTTATGCGCAGCAGCATTGCATTGCTCCGACCATTTGAAGTCACTGTTCATGATGACCCCCAGGTCTTTAACCCTACTGGCTGCCTCTACGGTGAACAGCCCTTGATCATGAGCGACAGTTAGGCTCTCTGTTGCACCTGACAACAAATGGCTTTTTTGAGCGTTGAGAGGTAAGTCCCATTTGTATGCCCAGTTCAGGATGGTACCTATTTCCCTGCCCAAGTCCACCCTACCCTTAGATCCAACAATCTTCACATCATCCGCAAAAATAAAGCTGGGCGATTGAAGAGTGGATGCTAGGTCATTAATAAATAACAAGAATAGGACCGGGCCTAGGACGGATCCCTGAGGTACACCACTGGTGACGTTCACCAAACTGGAGCACCTGTCCCCCACTTTGACGTAAAGAGTCCTGTGGGAGAGGAAGTCCTCCAGCCACCTATATACTGGCCCATCTATACCGAAAGTCTCCATCTTGCGTAGCATAAGACGATGATTAACGGAGTCGAACGCCTTGCTAAAGTCGAAGTAGCATACCTCAAATTGCTTACCTTCGTCCAGTCGTCGAGTTACTTCATCTAAGAAACACAGGAGATTGGTGAGGCAAGATCTATTTTTCAGGAATCCATGCTGCGCCGGGCTTAGCATGGAGTGCTGCAGTAAGTGCTGGCAGATATGGGCACGGATGATCTTCTCGAGGACTTTACAGAGAATGCTAGTTAGGCTACCCGGCCTGTAGTTCTGCACATCCGACTTGGGCCCACTCTTATGTATTGCCACGACTGCCGCGACTTTCCAGTCCTGAGGCAGCTTACCCTGGTCCAACGTGGATCTGTACAGTCTGCATACCGATGGAGCCATGATATCCGCCAACGGCTTGATGATAGCTGGATGAATGCCATCTGGGCCCGCTGACTTGTGGCTGTTTAACTCCTGTAGGTACTTACGCACGCATTCCTCTGAGAGATCTAGCTCGTTTAACTGAGGAGGATGCACCAGAGCCAGATCTACTCGTACCCCACTATCTATCCTATGTACACTAGCAAAGTATTCCCCCAGGGAGTCTGCTTTGCCCTGGTCGTCAGTGACAATACCATATTCTCTAGTGG